TTTGGATTCTTATGCGGACCTGAAGTAACCGTTTATCATTACTTTTGGATCACCCCTCGTACACCATTTTATTTTTCGCGCGTATTTAAGTACTTTATTTTCACAACTTTAAAACCTCTCGTGTACTTGCTGTAAACATATAAACTGTTAAAATACAGACACAGAGTATATATTAAAAAAAATTCTAACAGCTTGTGTTTGTATATCAAGACTTAATACATAAAAACAAACGTGAAAAATATGAATAGAAGTGTTTCATAAATTTTAATGAAATGTTTATGAAACCCTAAGGGGGTCAGCTGGCAAATGGTAAGAGAAAAGTAAACATTGACTTTGCTGTCAAATGGCGACAAAATTAATGTACAGCAAATATTTTATAATGTTACTTTCATATGAGGATTTAATCCAAAAATATTTTGCCAGACTTAATAAACTTGGGGTAGCTTAGACAGAAAATTATTTAACAATATTGGTATTATAGATTTTATCGCGTTTAATTTTACTTTTGACGTTATGCAATACGTATAATTACAAAAATTAGTCCAATAAATTATTTTGAATTCTTTGTCGAGACCTCCGTACATTTCCATTGCTAAACTAAACACTTATCCGATAAAAAATCTATGTATCGTCTAACGTAACGAAATTCGTAAAAATCTTATAAAAAGACCAATGAATTTAGCAAAACGCCTATAAATAGCCCACTTGATGTTAAGTGAATATTGTGGCCCACAGACATCTACATCTATCCTCGATAAAAATCAAAAAGCAGAGGCATTGTCACCCCTGAGGGCTAAGTGACTCGTTTCCAGTAAAAGGGACTTCGGTTCTCTACACTCACCATTCAAAACACAGCAGCATTATTACGGCTCCACCACGTATAAAATTCCGTCTGTCAAAATTTTTTAAAAGACAGAACAAACTATCGTAAATAACAATCCGAAAGCGGACGTAATTTTTTTTAAATTCTTTTTGTACAATTTTCACAAGAAAACGTTGCTCGGAAGAAAATTAAATTGTAAGCTTACTTTTTGTATGAAATCAGTGTGACAAATTGGGGTGACATACAAGCATTCACCAAAAGCAAATGTGTTCCATTAACTCCTACCAGCAACTTAAAACCATATTGTATGTTGCAAGCGCTTTACTATACAAATAAGGACGATCAGTAAGCATATAATCCAAAAGGCAAAAGAGACCTTCATTATCCTAAATTAAGAAACAATATGCAGAAGTTGTCACCTCTGAGGATTAAGATGGAATGGAGGCATCACCAGTAAAAAGTTTCTTCGGTTCTTGTCACTCCCCCTAAATACACTTTCACACTGTTATTTAGTGCGAGCGAGAGTGGTGTGGAGTGGTGATTCCCTGGTTAAGCCGACTCATTTGTATTGCAGACTTAATACAGCTCAGGGCGGCTCTTCCACTCAAATGCATCCTTTATATCCTACATGATATAACTACAGCCTATGCCCATATATAGCATACGAGTATAAGCTATCTTCTTGCCAAACATTCTCCAAGTTCAGCACTTCAGCAGTAAAATTGAAACTAACATAAAGAAACGTTCTCATATTAATAAAATTAGTACTTATAATAAAGTCCTCCAGACCGAATATCGGCCACAGCGGCCCGTCTGACGCAAACTACTCTTCTGCGTAGGACGGGATTATAGTGCCCAAGTGTATGGAGTAAGCATGGGTGCTCTATTCTTTCACTCTCATAGTCCTTTAGGAAGTCAATTCGACACAACTGGAATGAGATCAAACGTATTACAAATGGTTTAACGTATTTACCGTGGCACGGGGGTAAAACACCGCCATCTTTATAACTCCTGGCCGCATCTGAGTATTATTGGCAGAAAACCCGAATAACTGATTTTTGGCCCACCTCAAGAGCCTGGTCTGGCTTACGGCTAAACTAACAAGACAGTCAAGTTTAGTTTTAGTTGGTATTTAACAAACGTCCGTCTGGCTACGTTGAATGTATGTGGGGCAATGAATGATAAAATGGATGAAGTATGCGATATGATGAATGATAGAGGAATAGATGTGTTATGTGTAAATGAGACGAAAGGAAGGGAAAGGATGTCACTACACATGGCATGTATACCGCATACTGGTCTGGTGTAGACGAGATCGAGCGGGCATGCCAGGGAGTAGGTATCATCCTTTCAGAAAGAATGGGCCAATGTGTGAAAGAGTATGAATGTGTAAGCCCAAGACTGCTGTGGATACGAATGAAAGTGGGCTTAAAGAAGTTGTTTGTGTTAGGGGTCTACGCCCCAGACATGTCTAAGCCCACTTATATCCGAGAGCAGTTTTGGGAAATGGTAAGGATGGTGTTAATGGAGTGTAAGGGAAATGAAAATATTATTATGCTAGGAGATTTTAATGGAAGGGTTGGGGTGAGGAGGCTTGGTTATGAAAGGATATTGGGAACGTTTGGTGATGAAAGTATAAATGAGAATGGTGAAAGTCTCCTCACCGTATGTATGGAAAAGAATCTTTTTGTGACGAACACTTGCTTTCGCCACAAGAGGATTCACATGTATACTTGGGAAAGAGGTGACGATAGAAGCATGATAGATTTAATAATTGTGGATGAAAGATTGAGGGGCGCAGTTGTAGATACAAGGGTTTACCGGGGTTCTAACGTAGGAACGGATCATTATTTGGTTCTATGCCGAATTAATGGTCTATTCAGGCGTTGGCGCCATCGGTCATCTGTGTCTACCACTGCGTTACAGCGTATTAGAACAGAAAGGTTACAAGATGAAGGTGAGAAAAAGAAGTTCAAATGTAGACTGAAAGAAAATATAAGTGGTTTGGATGAATTATGTATGAAGGAGTTAGACTTGGAGAATGTATGGCAAAATGTAAAGAAAGGTTTAGTGGATGCAGCTACCGAAGTATGTGGTGTTAGTAAGAGAAAGAATGAAAGGAAAAATAATACGTTTATGGTGGGATGATGAGGTACGTATGGAAGTTGAAGCAAAGAAGAGAGCATGGCTAGATTTACTAGCAACAAAGGCTGGTAATTCTAGCGGTACGAATGATGATATTGAAAGAAAAAAGGCAGTCTTTAGACATCTTAATAAGAGAGTAAAAGAAGTAGTTGAAAGAAAAAAGCAAGAAAGAACGGATAAGAATGATAGAAGAATATCGGATAATTTCCAGGCAAATATTAAAATGTTCTGGAAACTTGTAAGAACTGCCAGGGGACATTCAAAACAGCCTATGATGAATGCTATAAGAGACGAGAATGGCTATATTCTGAATGATGAAGTTTTGAGTTTAAAGAGATGGAAGGAATATTTTGAAAGCGTGTTTATGAGTGAGGAGACAACGTGTGTACTAAGTGAAGTAGAAATTCCGAAGGAAGAGGAAAGAGGTAGCGAGATTAGTGTAGGTGAAATAATGAAAGCAATGAAAAGCATGAAAGCAGGTAAGGCTGCCGGATATGATAGAGTTTCACTCGAAATGCTAAGGGCTGGAGAGGAAGTGGTGGCAGGCCTGCTGCACACCTTGTTTAATTTATGCTGGGAACTGAAGCGGGTACCGGTAGACTGGTGCAAAGCCGTGATAGTCCCAGTATATAAGGGAAAAGGGTCGCAGCAGGACTGTAAAAACTACCGTGGCATCAGCCTTCTTAGCATTGTGGGAAAACTGTATGCTAAGGTACTGATTGAAAGGGTCATGAAAGAAACTGATGGAAAAATTTGGGATGTGCAAGCAGGATTTAGAAAGGGAATGGGATGTACAGATCAAGTCTTTTCCATGCGCATGATCGCGGAGAAGTTTTTGGCCAAAAACCAAAAGGTTTTTTGTGCGTTCATGGACTTGGAAAAGGCCTATGACAGAGTGAATAGGGATGTGCTATGGCAAACACTGAACTCATTTGGGTTGAGCGCTGGCTTGATACGGGCATTGGAGTCCCTTTATAGGGACTCTAGTGCTTGTGTTAGGATCAACGGGGTCTACTCGGACTGGTTTGACATCCATAAAGGTGTCAGACAGGGCTGTGTAGCTTCCCCGTGGCTGTTCAACCTATTTATGGACAGTTGTTTGCAAAATTTGAAAGTTGAAGAATGCGGATTAAGAATGGGTGAGTTAACCGTCAAATGCCTTTTGTACGCCGATGATCAAGTTATACTTGCGTCGTCGGCGGCCGAGTTGCAAATGATGGTTACATTAATGAACAGATCATTAAAAGAAAGGGGTATGAAAGTGAACGCAAGTAAGACGAAGGTTATGGTTTTTGAAAGAGAAGAAAGTAAAACGATTTGTGAAATAAGAATAGAAGGGGAGTTGATCGAGCAAGTAGACGAGTTTGTATATTTGGGCTGCGTATTTAGCAGGGATGGGAGATATGATAAGGATATAGAACGACGAGTGAATGCGGGAAATAGAGTAAATGGGGCCCTGCACTCTATTGTGAAGAGTCAAAATGTGTCGAAAAAGGCACGTATGGCAATTCACAATGCTGTGTTGGTCCCTACTTTAACATATGGTAGTGAAAGTTGGGTGTGGCAGAAGAAGCACGAGAGTAGAATGAACGCAGTAGAAATGCGGTCGTTAAGGAGTATGTTAGGGCTGAATCTTAATGACAGGGTAAGAAATTGTGTAATAAGAGAAGAGTGTGGTTTGCAAGATGATGTTGTGACCAGGATTAAGAAAGGAATGCTTCGGTGGTTTGGTCATGTGGAAAGAATGAATGAGGAAAGAGTTACAAAGAAAATTTATGTTGCAGAAGTGAATGGCAGAGTCGGAAAGGGACGTCCTAGGCGAAAATTTATCGACCAAATTGGCGATTTATTGAAAACGGGCCAAATTAGGAGTACCCTTAACCGACGAGCATGTATGCGGAGGTGTATGGATGTGAAGGAGGCGAGAGAGGTGTGTCAGGATCGTGCCAAATGGAAGTCTGTAGTCTCTGCCTACCCCTCTGGGTGACAGGCGTGAGTGTTTATGTTATGTATATGTTAACAAGCGTCGTACCTGAGCGATCTGATCAAATCGTCCAAAGAGCGCGTTGAGGGTCTTCACTAAATCGGAAGCAGTCAGTCTTTCCGAAAGGGGGGTGAAGTTAACTATATCCGCGTACAGAATGCTAACGTTGTTGTGACGTTGCACGTGCATCTCGTGGAAACGAGTCTGCTTGGAAGTGTCGGCGCACGCGTCCGCCATCTTGAGCATAATCGATCTCTTTACCTGAAACAAATAGTTTTGTAATTAATTTTTTATTAAATTAAAAAAAATCTTCTTAATTATCTTATTATTCGGTATTTCGACAATCCACTGTTCAAATATGTTAAACTGCACTTAGTTCAGGCCCAAATCATCCATCCATCCAAAACAGGTTATAAAAGTCCACTGCTGAACAAAGGCTTCCCCCCATACGCCATTTTACCAAAGTTGCCACGGTTGGGTGGGTTGGCAACTGCCCCTTTTTAATTTTGGGTTATTAGGTATCATGAAGACACTGCTATTCAACTACTGTATCTATTTCCCTCTGTTGACCCTTACGATAACTACGGGAAGATGTAGGGTAGAGGATTTTCTAACATTACCACTTTTTCACTATTAATTGGTAATTACTTATTTACTTTGTTATAATTATTTCTAGTGTTTATTAAGTGTCAATAATTGATCAGTTGCAACCGCTTTATGTAATACATGTAGGTTATTCAGGAATTTTTATCATTAAGTTAGCAGCTAGTGTACACGCATACGTCTAGTCGCACGCACACAAACACCGTGCCGAACTCTGCCGAGTGCCGAAGTCTGCCGAACTGAAACGACGTTAGACGATGCACGGCTTTCAACGCCACACCTCCGTGCCCGTCGGAGTGGGGAGCGTGAGGTTTTTTTTTCGTTACGGAATTTCTGGATTCGGTCCCCGCGCTCAAGGCCCGCGATAGAAGCTATGCAATAGCTTATAAATGCGTTTGCCAACCCAAACGTCAACCTTTGTAACTATGGCAAATATGAATCTATGTTTAGCAGTGGACTTTGATAGGCTGTAAAGATACTTGAAAAATTACTAGATTTTTGTGACAGCTTTAGAATTGCGTTGTTTTTGTCCCCAAGTATTTGTATCATCTGTATATTCTAAGTTTAAAAGGATAACAATAATTAAAATTTCACCCCAGTATTATAACAAATACGTATAAATTTCACCCTGTATGATTTTTTAAATTTTTAAATTTTATTTGATAAAATGTTTATAAATGACTACTGCGAACATTGAAGCTCCTCACAACAATAATGAAATAGACGCTTAGTAGAATACAATTTACACAATAAGTTTGTGAAAAAATAACAAGTAGGTATAATATATTCAGTTCTATAGGAAACTTGTAGCGCCTGTGAAAAAAGTTATAGCAAAGATTTATATTCACACATCGAGACCGATAAATTCATGAGACAGTACATTCATTCGGAAACGCTGGATTAGTGATAAGAACACAATTATCTTAAGTTATTTTGCTTGAATTACTATAAAAACGAGTTGAGTCTATATATTATATAAATACTTGAACTGTTATAGATGTAGAACTAAAATAATTTACTCTGCACTTATGTTAAACGAGTATATGACTACAAATTAATTCTGTCTGTTTTCAAAAGATGGCTCTGGCTGTTATAAATGTTTCATGGTTTACACTTGGTTGTGTTTGTGCTGTGGTTTCCGAGAGGCTCTAATTTTAAAAAACACCTATATTTTATTGAATTAAAAATGTTAAAATTTGTGGTAACTAAGCAAAATTTGCGGGCGGTTTTACCTTTCTATATTAGTTGTCAAAAAATTGCATTTGAAGCGAGAAGGTAACGATTTTAAAAATAAATAAAACCGGCCAAGAGCGTGTCGGGCCACGCTCAGTGTAGGGTTCCGTAGTTTCCCGTCCGTCACAATAAGTGTTCCCACTTATGAGTTTAAAGGTGGGCATCCATTATGTTCGCGCTCCAGCAGCGCTCCGCGCTGCTACAACTGCTCCCGGTAGTGGGTACTGTTGTTTCCATCCAAGTTCAAAATGATTTTCTTAGAAAGTCCTTATAAAGTTCTACTTTTCAGATTTTTTCATATTTTCTAAACTTATGGTTCAAAAGTTAGAGGGGGGGACACATTGTTTTTTACTTTTGGAGCGATTATTTCCGAAATTATTGACATTATCAAAAAATGATTTTATTAAACCCTTTCATTTTTAAATACCTTTCCAACAATATATCACACGTTAGGGTTGAAATTAAAAAAAATCACTTCCCACTTTACATATAGGGGGGCTACCCTAATAAAAAAAATTTTTGCAATTTTTATTTTACCACTTTGTCGGCGTGATTGATACACATATTGGTACCAAATTTCAGCTTTCTAGTGCTAACGGTCACAGAGATTAAGCGAGGACGGACAGACGGACAGACAGACATGGCGAAACTATAAGGATTCCTAGTTGACTACGGAACCCTAAAAACAACAAATCTAAGGTTGTGCCTTTATTGACACGTTCTGACTTCCTACCATAAAGTGAACACAATAGATATTTTAAGTGGCACTGTTTCGAAGACTACTTTATAATAATTCTAGCCTGGAGCTGGCATTTTTCGTCAGTTTTCTGTGTTATTTAATTACAGCTAAATTGTTTAACAACGCATCTGCATTTTTATTCTTAATCGAGGATAAATGTAGATATCTATGGGCCACAGCATCCACTTCATCGTGGACTGTCGTTGACTGTGGCTCGTTTGTCATCACATTTTATAAAAGATTTTTTTTCCTTAGAAAAAGGAAAAGCTCATATTAGATAATATGTGTTGAATTAATGAATTGGGATGTTGTGTGACTGTCTATAATATCGAAATAATTGGCTTTTTATTGAGCTGAGGGGCTGATTCTGTTTTCGAATATTGTGACTATTCTTTTGTCTCTACCTACGGTCTTATGGTATAAGTTAAACAGCGAAAATATCTCATGATAGTTGATGATTGTGTTTAAATTTGGGCTATCATAATCTCAACGGAAATAGAAATATAGATTATAAATAAAACTTATTGAAAGTCATTCTTACGTTTGATTTACTACTTACTTGTTCGGAAAATACCTCTGTTCATGTAAAAACCAGCAAGAAACCCAGCGGGACTTTTATTTAAGAAAGAACAGTTTACAATAATATAATATATTAAAATGATCTACAGATAACAAAGTAAAATGAGGCTACTACCAAACATTACTTTCCCGCGAGGAATACCCGGAATAGCTCCCTAGCTACATTCATCCGTTACTTCCCCTCATATTTAACCAAGTCATCACTCCATATAATGGTATGCTGTCTTACACTTCGCTTTCCGGTACAAGATTGTCACTAACAATGTTATCGACATTAGAAATATAATGATCGACAAAGCCCAATGGATTCAGTAAGAATGTAAGTTTCATCTCTATGTTTTCCTTCACCAACCGGCACGAGGTAAATCAGCAGTTAAAATATACTAATGTTCAGCAGTAGAGTTTTGTAAAGAGCTGATGATATGATGATGGTGGTTGTGGTAGTGGTGGTGAAGGTGAAGGTGATAATGATGATGAAAAATAAGCCCCAACTGGTGTATAATTCATAGAAGCTACCATAGAACAGTATATAGAATGCAGTCGTCATTGTTTTCTAATATTCCGTCAGAGTCTATAGCTATCAGACGCTATTCACGTAACTCGGCGGATGTGCATACAAGCTACAAGTTATTACTTTTTTGTGGTGTGCGTACGTGACATAAGACTTGTAACGTATGTAGAAACCGGGTCATTGCCATAAAACGAGTTTGAGAGTTAAAGATGAATGTTAACACGTAATATTCGCAGAGACTGTACATGTTTGTATCAAACTTATAATTAAATATAAGTTAGTTAAAGGTACAGCCTATTTACCTCCCACTCCTGGGCACAGGCCTCCGCTCATGTCTGCCCGGCGATGAAGGAAATATTACGTATATACCATATAATACTATAATACACAATAGAATAGGTGTCAACCTTATTTTGTACGAGGATGGGCGTCGCCGGGAGCACACATACAAGCAATTACGTCGTATTATCAGTTATCACTACTACAAACACATTTTAGACTTTGATTGATATTTTTGACACATAAATATTTCTTTATTTTTGTTTCTAATATTCACAAAATATAAATAGTTTCGACTTACTGGTTGTAGTATATGTCTCCTTTATTTAAATGCTGTTCTTTCGACACGTAGTTATTGCACAATTTGTAATTTTTTAAATAATTTGCATGCAGCAACGCTTGACACGAAACTTGGAAACGATTGATTGTGTTGACATTTATACGTGTGAATTGACATATTAGAGACATGTTAGTGGCTACACGGGCTCCACCCCCTCCCCCGTTCTACTAGGTATGTATTGTATTATTCTATGGTATATACCTTAATATGTAATTTTTATAAAAAAATATGAGCGTCAGTAGTATAGTAGGTTGCGAACCGTTAACTTAAAAGGTCCAGAGTTTGAATCCGCAATTCAACTACTGTCCTGAATCACTTTTAACGCTTACCAGGAGATATACACTCCATTTTCAGCTTACCAGGTGTGGTTAAAGGGCAGATTAGTTTGCTAGTATTTTTTTAAATAATAATCATCTTCACTCTATCTAGTCACGGAGCCCGCCCTAACATCATCTTACTGTTAAGAGGCTGCCACACGTGAATCGTTCTTCTCCATTGGTTGTCAGTTTTTCTGCGTATATGGCCAATCCATTGCCACTTTAATTTACAAATTAACTTAACCTGGTAAGAGAAGCAGTAAGTCGATTGATGCGGGATTCAGGACCGTGCTTTGTGGCATTTCTTGGGACTTCACACACAGTGGAATTATGTGGGGCTGTAATGATGATGATGATTATGATTATATAATCGTAATTGCGTCTGTTAGTGATCGTTACTATATTAAGTATATTTGTTTCTCCGAAGAGGTAGTTCAAAGCTATGAAAGGATCCCGATAGCGTGTAGAGTGTAATAAAGTTAATATATGTCGATAGATATCCACACCCATCCTCTATTCAGAATTAACATTTATTGCGTTTTACCCCTGATGAATTTAGAATAGAATAGAATTATATTTATTCAATATAGGTTACATAATACTTATTAGAAATATAGGTACGGAACATAGCAGTAATATGATTTTATTTTATACTGGTATTTTGGTAGACCGTGGTTCTAGTCAGCAATTTGATTTAAAATTTGAACATTATTTCCGCACAATTCCGCACAAAAATTTTGTACAACCGACCTCAATTAAAAGAAAATGAGAACATCATCAATGTAGTCGAAGTCAATTAAATACGCATTATTATGGTGATACCTCGAAAATTTGATGGTTTTTCTGTTTCGCATATTTTTTAAAGTTTTATAGATTACAAACCAAAATTTTGGTAAATAATTTTTGACTATATGACCTTGGATTGCATAAAAGGAAAACACGATATCATGAAATTTTCTCGATAGAAAAAAATCCAAATTAGGCTCTAATTTGTTACATTTTTCCATGACACCACAATAATTTTAAGAATAAGTTCATGGAATTATTTTTAAAGCATAGTAAATAATCATATTATCTAAGTTTTCATAAACCATTTTTTAAATCCATAACGTAGTTTTGTTAAAAAAAAATGTTGTTTGGCGCTTACTTAGTTTTTTCCGAGCGTGTTCTCGGTATAGCTATCTCATAATTTGCGTATTATGAAGTCATTGCATCACTTTCATTTTGACACTCCCTCAGTCCTCTGTTAGCTTCACCGACAAAGGAATAAGCCACGCCCCCAAAACTACGATTAATTTTCAAGGTATCCTCTTAAGGATAACCCAAAAAATACTGGTCAGATATTGATCAAATTTAGATTATATAGGACCACATTAGAATCTCATCATCATCATCATTACAGCCCTTCACAAGTCCACTGCTGAACATAGGCCTCACCCAAGTAATGCCACAAAACACGGTCCTGAGCCACCTGCATCCATCGACTTCCTGCATGTCTTACCAGGTCGTCACTCCATCTAGTGGGGGCTCATCCTATACTACGCCTACCGGTACGAGGCTGCCACTCGAGAACCTTTCTTCCCCATCGATTATTGGTTCTTCGAGCTATATGGCCGGCCCAATGCCACTTCAGCTTACTAATCCGTTGGGCTATGTCGGTTACTCTGGTTTTACTGCTGATATCTTCATTTCTGAGTCTATCACGCAGAGAAACTCCAAGCATAGCCCTCTCCATAGCTCGCTGAGCGACCTTGAACGTCCTCATACGGCCAGCAGTGAAGGTCTACGTCTCAGATCCGTAAGTCATCACTGGCAACACGTACTGGTTGTACACTTTAGTTTTCAGAGATTGAGGTATACCTGACGAGAAGATGTGTCATAATTTCCCGAACGCTTCCCTAGCAGAGTTGAATCCGTCGATTGACCTCTCGGTCGAAGTTGGACTTACCTAGTCGGACTATTTCTCCCAGGTAAACGTACTCGAGTCTGCGAGCGAGACGATTCGGCATTAGAAGCTCACCAGCTTTCAATTAAAAAAGAATCAAAAAATCGGTTGACCTAGAAAATAGTTATGAGGTAACACACACAAAAAAAATACAGTCGAATTGCGAACCTCCTCCTTTTTTGAAGTAGGTTAAAAATAACGCTATATCATATCAATTTTAAGAAAAAGGTTTCCATAAAAATATTAGCCTTAAGATCACAAATTAAATAAAGCCAATAACGAGTCTCAGAAATCTTCACCCGGAAGACATGTTCCCAAATATACGAGGTTATTACTTGAGTATTATTAACATTGTCGGAAGGGAACATCTCATCATGATAAAGCTATTAAATTATCTCATGGGTAGCTTACGTTTCCCTTGAGGTGTCTTGTAGTGATAACAATGATCAGTTTATTTAGGAATTTAGTGCCGATCGATAGGACCTCAAAAGTAAAGTATGGTTATAATAACTAGGTGTTTTTTATAGAAGAGGGGGCAAACGAGCATACGGTTAACCTGATGTTGTGACTACGCCGCCGCCCATGAACAACACCAGGGGAATTGCAGATGTATTGCCGGCCTTTGAAAAAGGAGTAGGCTCTTTTTTTGATAGTCTCTAAGTCGTATCGGTCCGGAAAAATGGTGGTAGTCGGTTCCACAAGGAAGTTGTGCGAGGAAGAAAACTAAAAATTAACTTTAGGAAATCCTTCGCCAACATTTGTTTTTAAACAAAAAATGCGGTTGACCCTGCAGCCCATCACTGAAACTTCCCGCTAATTTCAAATGCAAAGCGCTCCAAATTCCACCTATTCACTTCGAGCTCAAAAAGAAATAATTTTGAAAAACCACGTTTTATTTATTTTTTCAAAATTAAATACTTCACAAACAAATCAACCGATTTCGACGAACTTGAACAGTTTTTTCAAGCACTTATTACATCAAAAACGATCCGAGAAGAAATTTCGAAGTTATTTGAAAAAATTACTAATTTCGAAATTTTTCTTTAACGATTTCTCTTCATCGCATCAACCGATTTTGTTGCGGTTTGCAATCGACGGCGTTTTTAGAGTTTAAGAGTTTAATAGATTTTAGAATTTAGTGTTAAATCTGTTTTAAAGTTATTTCGAAAAAATATTTTTTTGAAAGTGTTATTTTTGAGATTTCTCAAAGTCTACCAGTCCGAATCGATCTAAATGGTATAAAAAATCTAAGTTTGGTAAATCCCTTTCGAGTGCCGCCGATTTCGTTTAAATCGGTCAATCCATTCAAAAGATATATTATACTATAACATAATTATATCCATACACACACGTACACAAACATGCGCGTACGCGCACGCGCACGCGTTCTAACTATTTACAAATAGAGGAGATCATCTGGTGAGAAGTAGATTTTCGAAAACCGGGGTGAAACCAATAACTTCCCGTTTTTAAAAAAAAAAGTTATCAAAACGGGAAGTTAAAAACATTCATTGTCCATTTTCGCATAATATTATAGATCAGTTGTGATCGTTCCTGTGTTTTTAGTACTGTTTTTGGGTATTATATAGAATACAGGTAGTTTTAAAATTAAGGTCCCGTTAGGTTTGTTGCACTATATCCGGAACTGCTCCAGATATATCGCTTTTATCAATTTCAGAGAGAGAGCTCCAAAAGCAAAACAAATTTCTAAGTTTAATATTCAAAGGATATTTTTAGCAATATTTAGTGTAAGAATAGAACAAAAATCTATCCATCAACGACATCTGTTTCGATTTTAAATGTGTATATTAAGTATATCTGTCGGTCTCGTTAGAACGCACGCGATAAAACATAGATAAGAAATTAATGCCTTACGATAAAATACCGATGACCCGGTTAAGTGGATCATATCTATTGATATTATGCTATTTTGTGCTTATTTCATAAATATTTTATACATAGTAAGGAACTTTGCTAGAAGATAAGAGAAATTGCGTGCGATTTTCAATGGCTTACTTCGCAGTTTCAACCATCTACTATGGAGTATAACACACGTTACAGGTAATTCATTTTCAGTCTTCCATTCCCATTTTACTATCAAACGGTTAAACGAGCATTGGATTTCAATCTTAACGTAGTTGATATGCCTCTGTTGCCTTTCGCTCTATGCTTAATGGCGTGCATAGCGAACGATAGGAATTTATTACCTGCATACATCTTCCTCGACCTCAACAATTTACGATTTAGAACTCTATCACTGTATATTATATGTTATAGCATTGTGTTAATATTATATGTGATCTAGGTCAAACTGAAATTAATTAGTAACTATTTCAGTTATTACGGTTTATACATATATTTGCATAAAGTTAAAATATACAATATTTATTACCATAAGAAAACTAATTATTAAAACTTAAATTTATCATACAGTCTTATTCCTCGCAGTATAGTGCTAAGAGCAATAATAATTCGACGACAAGTCGCTGATACAATAACTATATCACATGTGGATCCCACGTCCCAATAGCCTTTCCAGAAAATTGAACAAATATCTATTCAGCTCTCAGGCAACCACATTCTCGTACAAATTCTCTGTGGAATTGTTGACCACCGCCGATTTTTCCGGACCGATACGACTTAGGGACCTTCAAGACAAGAGCTTACTCCTTTTTAAAGGCCGGCAACAAACCTGTAATTCCCCTGGTGTTGCGGTTGTTCATGGGCGGTGGTGGTCACTTACCATCAGGTGAGCCACATGCTCGTTTGCCCCCTCTTCTATAAAAAAATGCAACGTTTACTCACTCCAGCTGCCTCTGATGCCGCCTCGGCTCTAAACGAGATACTTCTGAAATAAGAGGTTGCCAAAACGTCTGAGCGCGTAGCGTCTCTTCATTAATGAGTGACGAAAAATATATTTTATGCTTATTATTTATAAAACAACTCTTAAAATTAACACTCACTCACGCCCGTCACCTAGAGGGGTAGATAAATAGTATGGACTTCCATTTTGTAAGACCCTAACACACCTCTTTCACCTCACATCCATATACATCAATATATCGTCAAATTGGTCGATAAACATCCATCTAGGACATCTCTTGCTCACTCTTCTGACACTTCTGAAGCGTAAGTTTGATGTCTCACTCTTTCCTTATTCATTCTTTCTACATTTCCAAACCAACGAAGCATTCCTTTCTTAATCCTGGACACATCATCTTTCAAGCCACACTTTACTCTTATCACACAAATATGAAGTATATTGATATTACAATAACGGCATTTCGATAGCATTTATTCTTCTCGTGTGCTTCTCCTGCCACACTCAATTTTCACTACCATACATTAAGAATACTTAATAAATTACTGTGAAAAATTTAAGCGATACGGACTTCAGGGATCGAATCGAAACTGAAATCAATCCATAGCCTTTAGTTGCTTATCCATACTTAAACCGTTTAGAGACAGTAGAGAATATCCAATACCCCATATCATCGAGTGGGCGTCGTTCTTACGAACTTCCCGTTGTCGCCTCTTGGCGACAGAGGGAAACAAATCAGGAGATGGGCAGCAGCGTTCTAAAAACGAACAAAAAAGACTGCTGTTGCTAACTATGGCAAATATCTCCCTTATGAGACAATCTATGGGCGAGGCCTATGTCCACCAGTGGACTTGGATAGGCTGTGACGGCCTATCTTACTTAAATCTGTCATAATGGGAAACAAGGTCGATTTCAATTTTGTTGATGATTTTATTATATTTATATCATGTTATTGTATTGATAATTTAAATCAATTCTTAACGCCAACAATATCTCTAAAAGTAGGTTATCGACTTTGTTATGAGGAAATAAACAACTGAATATCAATATTACAATTTGGACCAAGTAGCATTTAGGTAAGTACACAAATATTATAGGCATTAACTTTTAAAACCCGCATAATTACTTAGTATTTTATACGTGGTAGAGCCACGCTGCAGCTATATTATGGTTGCAGCATGAATGCGTCGGCTCGACCGGGGAAGGACCACGCTCTCACAGAATACCAGCGTAAAATAGCATCTTAATACTCCTGTGTTTTGTATAGTAAGTGTAGACATCCGAAGACCTTTTTTTACTGGAAACGAGGCATTGCATCTTAGTCCTCAGGGGTGACAACGCATCTGCGTTTTGATTCTTAATCGATGATAAATGTAGATGTCTATGGGCCACAGCATCCACTTACCATCAGGTGGACTGTGTGCTCGTTTGTCACCCTTATTCAATATTAAAAAAATATTGCCGTAATGAAAAGAATCAGGTGATACTTTGCAAAAATCTATTTTATTAAAAATTTAAAAAATTAAGGAGTTAAGATACGTGCTATAACGCACGCAATGGAAGGAGGGTGTGTTTCAAACTAGATACCATTACAGACTAAAATTCCACTGCAGAATATAGGCCTCCCCCATAGGTTGCTTCTTTTGGGGGATTTTGCCATAGTTGCCACGTTTGGCAGGTGGGTGGGCCGCAGTTTTAAGCTATTGCATAGCTTCTATCGCGGGCCTTGAGCACGGGGACCGAATCCAGAAATTCCGTAACGAAAAAACCTCACGCTCCCCACTCCGACGGGCACGGAGGTGTGGCTTGAAGGCCGTGCATTGTCTAACGTCGTTTCTTTTCGGCAGTCTTCGACACGGTGTTTGTGTGCGTGCAACTAGACGTATTGTACGACTCTACGAAGCTCGCACGAATCGAGACGAGCTGCTCCGAAATCGGACGAATACATAAGCAGCTGTTTATGAGAAAGTATATAGGTGTATAGGTATTTATGTACAACAGTGAATAGCTGTACTTGTAAAATTTGTGTATAAAGTGTTTTGAATATGAATGAACAAAGTGCATTTATTAATTATTTATTTAATAAAAGAAAAAAACTGTTTTCTTGTCGGTCACCACGCTCAAAAAGTGTAACTTGAATTAATATCAAAGAAAAAGAAATACTGCATAAATTAAAATAAATAATTATAATTGCATAAGTTGATACAAAATGCTATGCAATAGCTTTACCGCGGCAGTCCCCGAGTGCCACACGTCTTTTTTATTTTTTATTTTTATTAACTTCCCAGTGGGAAGTTATTGTAATGGGTCCGATTTTGAAAATTGATAATTTTAATACATCTCCGCGTTTCGAGGTCTTTAGAGTCGAATAGTATGGTTTTTAAGAGATGTCCGTGTGTGCACATGCACGTATGTATGTATGTATGTTCGGATTCAATTTTCGACTCGTCAATCTCGAGAACAAGGAGTGATATTGACATGGGACCAGTTCATTTAACGTTTTTACATAATTATGTAACTTAAACCTCATTAAATTTTGAGCAAAATCGGTCTAGTCGTTTTTTGTGCCGAATGAAAAGTTGTATAAAATATTAAAACATATGATTTTTTTATTCTTTCCACTGGGAAGTTAGTAGTATGGACCTTTCGGCTCGCACCTAAACCGCTTTTAATTTAAAATTAAATTACAATTTTTTATTTTTTATGTGGATTTTAGTCTATTCTTTTGTTAAAATCTTCGATTACATTATCGATTAGGGGAAAAACTAAAAGTAAGTTGTGGTTCTGAATTAATACGGAACTGTTAACACTTCGCCGTGTTCACGAGAATCACGTCCATCCATCCGGCTCAATGATTGATATTTCAGCCTATAAAAGTCCACTGGTCAACAAAGGCCTTCGCCACAAATTGCTTCATAAGGAGATTTCAGTACTGTTGCCACGCTTGGCATGCGGATTGGCAACGGCAAAAATATGCTGCTGTCCACGTCCTGCTTCAGTTTACCTTTTTCGTTCTTATGAGGCCAGTGGTCAGTGGACTAACACCGCCAAGAAACAGTTGGAGATTGAAGCATCACGTACTCTCAAATAAATATAAAAAATTAACTGCTGTGTTACGAATGTATCCACACACTTTCATGACGATTTCTAATACTGAAAAATTTTTTATCCCTCCTGGATGACTGTTAATTAAATTAATGGAACATTATAAAAGGATTAAGCGTGAGTCACTTCGCGTGGTTTACTACCTTTATATACATTACCACTTTTTGAAAAATAATTACTCCTTTATGTAAATACAAAAGACACTCTTTTAAAACTTTAATTTTGTACTAAAAAATTAACTGCACCTCAAGAACATCAGAGGGTTGCACACTAACCTCGATCATGTCCACCACCACCTTGAAACCGTGAAGCTGCACCTATTGTTCTTAACGGAGATGCAGATAGCAGCTCCGTTTGTTGTGACGTACCTCAACTACCCGGGTTACACGTTTGAACATAAGTTCAAACAGCGTGCTGGGGTATGTGTGTACGTCCGCGATGACATTTGCTGTCGGGGTCTCCGTTGCTTTAAGGTTTCAGGGTTTTCTGCAATGTGGCTTCTGGTGGATACCGGTGTAGAGACAACCCGATATGTCTGTCTCTGTTAATCACACCGCGGAGATGAGGAGATAACCAGGCTCATAGAACACCTGACAGGGATGGCAACATCGGTATCCGTCTGCACTGCAGTTCACACGCGGTAGAAGTGAAACCTTCAGAAAAGTAGACCGAGATAATAGGAAACCAAGCCAAGTATACAACTTACTGTATTCTATCTCATTTTCTCTCAGGCTAAATCCTATATATGTCTCTTTTAAGTGTCCCTTTTCGTTTCATTGAGTTTCAAATTAAACCTATTTTTAAAGAAGTTTTTACTTCAAAGGAGAAATCTGACTACGCAATTTAAAAAAAAAACATCTAAATCGGTTCAAAATTTAAGAAATTGCGTAACTTACATACAAAAGGAAAGTAGTCGAATTCAGAACCTCATCGCTTTTTGAATTATGCTAAAAAGGAGATTATTGTATTATTACAAATTCTGATTTTGGTAAAAGAAATTTTCTTGCGTTTATTACAAATAATATATCTTGAGAATATTTGTAGCCCGCTAAAGGTACAACAGACTTTCTTCTATTAAATACATCCTCAAAAAAAATGAGAAGACTTATGCCCAGCCACTGGACATAATAATAAATACCAATACTTTAAGATGTCTACGCCATCCAATTTTGTGACGAATGAAAAATGTACTTCTAAAATGTAATTCTATAACCATTTTTTTTTTTGCAAATGGTACTTACCCAACAATTGTGTGATGGTATGAGATATGTAGCAGATTTAAATATAATAAACGTTGGTTTGTAATTATAACAATCAGTATGTTTACTGAATTTATATGAATAGTTATTATTACATGGCTGATAACTTATACGAGTTTAAAATCTTAATTTTAAACTCGTATAAATTATTTTAAATAATTATTTTAAACATGAACTGATTGATTTTATGCCATATAAAAGTCAAACGGAAATTTCTTTACTGGTGTATTGTAAACATGCTAACACTTATATTGATTTAGTATTAATTTGTTAAATGGAACATATAGTGCTTATTACACATATAAATATGTGTAATAAGCAAACTCATCAAAATTCTTTAAAAGGTAGGGTAAAAGTTTTGGGGTAAACCCCGCGCTCATGTTGAGTCATTGTTAAACTATATAGGTCATTAATTGCTGAGTAATAATTTTACATATATAACTATTTTATAGTACAAATTTTAATAAAATATTGACCATAAGCGAATAAACGACAGTCAGCGTCTTAAACAGTTGATAAATAAATAGCCAAAAATATAAATTTAACGTTCCACGGGTATGATAAAATCACAAAAACATTATAAATAAGAATCTATGTCTATCAATAACAATATTTAATACTTCTTTGTAGATGTTTGGATTTTTGTTATTCTATCTAATTGAACTAAAATAACTTTCTGGTCTGATTCGACGTGCCTGACGGTAAAGATGGTAATGCATATATCGAAGTTCATAAGACTTTTCTAGCACTTCTCATATTCGCTTCATCAGACAATTACTGGATGGAAAGGAGTGATATACTGTAACGCTGCCACCACGGTTATTACTCATTTTACCTTTGCCGATCTGCGCAGATATTTGTATACATAATTTATCGAAAAAGATACCAAGGAACAATATAAAAATAAAGAAAGAAATTCCTTGGATTCTTTCCTACCAAACAATAAAATGGTTATTACACGTCAACTCACAAAAGGGTTTTTGGAAATGAATTGTCTTGGTAAGAGATTATCTCGACTATGAATTATTAATATTAATTGTTATTATTAATGTTTATTATTTTTAAAAACATTATATAACCGTTTAAATAAATTAATCCCACAATTATGTATTTATATGGCCATATATTGTCACAGGAACTGTGTTTTAGTTTTCAGCCTGCACCCGGAACAAATATTGTCAAGCAAATGATAACGAGAGTCACATTTCTTAATTAGCTGAAGTAAACAAATGTCATATGTTGAAATAAACAACAGTTACATTTAACCATCAAACGCCATGCCTTTTTCCTAGTTATGACGCAAGTCTTTCGTGAGAAGTCGCGGTCAACATTTATAACGTACGTCAGATCTCCGTTTGATTATTTTAATGAGGAATGTTTATCCACTTATCAAGTACCTCTGCTTACGTTGTTCAATTAAAAAAAATCATTTTTTATTTTATTTCAATTACTTTTTATGTGGTAGAGCCATAGAATATAGATGGTAGAGCCAGTCATAGAATATAGAGAAGAGAATCGGAGAGACTTTTTACGAAGCATTCTATCTTATGCGCAAGGGTGACAAGGCATCTTCATTTTTATTCTTAATCGAGGAAAAATGTAAATGTCTAGGGGCCACATAATTTACTTACCTGGTGGACTGTGTGTACTCGTCTGTCACCCTTATTCTATATAAAAAAAATAATTCTAGCAATTCTATTAAGACAAAAAATACTCCCATTGGCCACTCCTACTAAGCATGTGTTGCTGCAAGCTTGTGCTGGTGTTAGTCATGACATGGAATGAATTGAAATATATTCATTTCTTCACTGTAAGGAATTAAAATTTTATTTACCGACATCATTTTTCCCCCAAATCCAACCACCGTTTTAAAATGGTTCCTATGATAGGATAATAAACGACAAGAGAAACTTCGCAAATATCTTATCTCTTATTTTGTAACACAAAATTATTAACTTTACAAAATTACAAAAACTTTACCTGCCCTGCTAAATTCAACCCTCCAAAAGAAATTTATTCAATAAATATATTTAATTATAATGAATACTAAATACCACACTGTTTGAACATTACAAAAAATTGTGTAGTAACTTACCTTGAACTTATATTGAAAATAAAATTGCTTTATTTAAAATATTACATCATATTTTCCTTAGAAAGGCTACTGGACTTATTTACTTTAACGTAGCAAAAACAATTCGGAATCTTGGTATTTGCAATAAAGATAATAAAAGATAAAGGGACAAGCCTCCCCTCTTTAATGTCTGCGTATGAAATATGAATCATTCATCACTTGTGCGTTGTAACAGTTATACAGAGTAGGCGAGTAGAGGACTAGAGGTTTCAGACGCATCGAACGCGGTGAATCGTGCGCACGTTCATTATCAAGAGTACCGGTCTTACTCCCTGTGGCACTCCGAAACGTTTGTTTTGTTTACGCGATGCCTCACGTCTCTTGTGAATGTTTGTGACAAAAGGTTATTGTGCTGTCTGTAGAATATTATTTTGTGTGTTTTATTATTAGGTTGGTGATTTACGTGAACTCTGTATTTAATAAATACAAAAAAATGTTTCCGAGAATTCAAGGACTGGTGAGTACAAAAAGTATATTATTAATGTGCGATTTTACAAATAATGTAGTTTTTTTTATTTTGTTACAAAATTCACAGGCTACCTGATGGTAAGAGCCTACTGAAAACCGTGAACACTTGCAACCAACTTCACAACAAAGAAGCAGATGCATTGTCATATCTGAAGACTATGGTGGAATGTCTCACAGCCTCTAACAAAGCAGCAGTCTGTATACAGGAAAGGAGTTTTATCACCTATCAACGTTATTTATTAAAGTTATGATGAAATTATTTAATAAATTTTACAAAACGTAAAATTTACAAGACGTCAAATTTATAAACATGTAGTTTATTTTTATATCAACCATAAGAAGCAAACTTTACGGGAAGCTTTTTTTATACGTGGTAGAGGCATGCTGCAGTTATATTAGTAGTATAGTTGTAGCACGAATGGGTCGGCTCGACCGGAGAAGGACCACGCTCTCACAGAATACCAGCGTCAAATAGTAGCTTAATGCTGCTGTGTTTCGTATAGTGAGTGTAGAGAACCGGAGACCCTTTTTACTGGAAACGAGGACCATCTTAGTCCTCACGGGTGACAACGCATCTGCAGTTTGATTCGTAAATCGAGGATAAATGTAGATGTCTATGGGCCACAGCAACCACTTACCATCAGGTGGACTGTGTGCTCGTTTATCACCTTATCCTATAAAAAAAGAAAAAAAAAGCCTATGTTCAACGGTGGACTTGAATAGGCTGTAACAGTAACGATGCAATTTCTTTTACGTTCTTAAAAAAATAAAGAGAATTATATCAACTGAGAGATTGTGATCGAGTGGTTAGTTCTATGGGATCAATCGTTAATCAGTCACGTTCGGTGCGCAATAGATTTCACCTTTTCAACACGCGTGAAATGCACCACATGCGTTAGACAGCCTGATGTCACGCTTCAGATTTTATTGTTTAGTACCTAGTGTTTCTTCTGATCTGTTACGCCGCAAGTTTATCAAACATAGAGCAAGTAGGTATTTAATGAGTGCATTATTCAAAGGAATATAAAATATTTGTACAAATGATCATAGAGTAAGCGTTGAATAAAAAATGTGTTTTAGATGTGAATTTGATATTTATACATTAAAATATGATCAAAGTGCATTTTATAGATTTAATTTTTTATTATTATAAGTGCCGCAGGTTTTGTATTTTCAATTAAATGAGATTTTCTTTATTTAATCTAAGAACCTAAGTATATTTTTATAAGATATGTATTTGAATATGTTCAACTTTGACTTCATTCACGATAAGCACACAGTCTTTTTAAAATTTAATTAAGACAAGATCTACAATTATCTTTGTGATTACGTCTGTAATTCTGTTTCTAAAGCTCTAATTACTAAAAAAAAACAATGATTTAATGATTTATTTATGCGTAGTTATTATTTATTTCCATCAAAGACTACATTTTTATTCGGATTCAAGGCAGAACACTAATTTTTTTATAGTATAAGGATGGCAAATGTCCACACAGTTCACCCGATGTTAAGTGGTTGTTGTGGCCTACAGACATCTACATCTATGCTTGATCACGATTCAAAATACAGATGCGTTGTCACCCGTGAGGACTAATATGGAATGCTTCGTTTCCAGTAAAAAGGGTTCCGGTCCGGTTCTCTACACTCGCCAAACGAAACACAGCAGCGATAAGCTGCTATTTGACGCTGGTAGAATTCTGTGAGGGCGTGGTCCTTCCCCGGTCGAGTCGAATGGGGCGGCTCAACCGGTGAAGGACCACGCTCTCACAGAATAACGGCGTAAAATAGCAGCTTAATACTGCTGTGTTTCATATTGTTAGTGTCCGGGGACCCATTTTTACTGGAAACGAGGCATTCCATCTTACTCCACTGGGGTGACAACGCATCTGCGATTTGATTCTTAATCGAGAGTAAATTCAGATGTCTATGGGCCACAGCATCTACTTACCATCAGGTAGACTATGCTTGTTTGTCACCCTTACTCTATAGAAAAAAAAAACAATATTAGCCTGGAATTTATTAATTATTTACACTAAATAACTAATAAATTCGAGCATGATTAATTGATTAATGGTGTTTTATTCGATTTTCTATTCGATTGAGATAACAATTGTGAAAGCAAAGCAATGTTTTTCTGAGAAAGCCAACAATACCAAGTATTATAATTCAACAGACCCTCATTAACAGACCTAAGACCACATCTAGACAAAGGCTTTTCCAAGAAGGCAAGTGGTTATGCATTACTAGTAAAGTAATGGTCCTATTATGTTTATCAAAATCCGTAATTTGAGTTCGGTGTGTTTTTTAATGGATTTTAACTCTTAACGCTTTTACAAAACATTTTGTTGCAGTAATCCATTTTATTATTAATCGAGGATAAATGTAAATGTCTATCGGCCACAGCATCAGGTTGACTGTGTGCTCGTTTATCACCCTTATTATATACATACATAACTAAGGTACTAGAAATTTAATATTTTTTACATAAAATTAAAGTAAAGAACGAATTTACGATAAGTTCAGTTTTATTTAAAAAAATGTATTTCATGAGTCAAATTAAACTTTCACTGATTATCACTTGCAATTTTTGTTTCGCAGAATACAAAATGCGTCATCTAAGTCTACTCCACCAGCGTTCCTGGAAATCATGATTATGTTATGAGTACATAAAACGAGGAATCTACTGTGATTCATTAATATTGCAACTTGATATTCGTGGGATTTCTTAAGTTATAGCAAGTTGCTATAATTGATAAGGCCATCAATATTACTTATATTTATGACCGCCTCTTTGGTTTATCGGTCGTACACGCAAATGTTGAGCATGAGGTCTGAGGTTCGAAACCCTGGGCGCGCCAAAAATCAGTGATTTATTTTTTCCATCAATAACATTTTAGTAGCAGTCCGCAGTCAGAAATTTGGCGGTGTTTACCCCCGTTCCTCGGAAAAGCACGTAAAGCCTTTGGTCCTTCGCCTGATCCCTCTACGGTTGTGTTGGCCTATTACCTTCCCATCGAAGTATGAGAGTGAACATCTAGTAAAGTAAAGTAAAGTTACAGCCTATATACGTCCCACTGCTGGGCTCAGGCCTCCCCTCATTTCTGAGAGGGTTTAGGGCAAGGAAGTGTCCGCCGCGCTGCCCAAATGCATGTTGACGAACTTCACATGTCTTCGAAATATTTTTTTCTTATTCCTCAGACATGCAGGTTTCCTCACGATGTTTTCCTTCACCGCCGAGCACGTGGTAAATCAGCAGTTAAAATAGCAATTAACAATTTCATTGGTGCCGGCGGGGATCGAACCCGGGCTACTCGCGTTCTGTTATATTAACAGCGAGCGTTAACCACTGAGCAACCACGGCACATCTAACTGGAGAAAAAATGTCCACCTCGGTGGACATGCAAGTACTTGTTACGTGTCTGGACGTTTGTCCTAGTTAAATTTATGTATGTAAACTGCAACTATAATAACTATCACGATGCAATAATCAACATAATCCTTGAAATCTTTCTGAAACTGGTGCAAATCTCTTTTGGTGTTTTATTTTTGTAATTGACACAAGGAAATAGATTATTATAATTAATGTCTATTAGAGGAATAATAGATGTGAACATTAGTGAATGATGTTTATATAGCTTTCGTGACATTTAGAAAATTCTTTATCAGTTAATTAATTATGTATTAACCAGTAATTTATAATTATTTACTTGTTTTCTTATGCTGCTGTCAATTTTGATTTCATGGACCGTTAGAAGATGCTATAGCCAACAGACTAGGTGTCTATCTAGGTGTCACCTTTCCTCGATTAAGGATCAAACTGCAGATGTACCTGTTAAATAGGTTTACGGTTCTCCATCATTCAACATACGAAACACAGCAGTATTATGCTACTGTATAATATTGGAGTTAATAAAAAATTCATAGAACGATTCGGATTTTCTTCAACACATTTATCAGCTTTTCCGCTTACACTTTATTATCAAACGATCCGACAATATAATAATTGAACAGTTTCAGCGTAACGTACTACTTAGGCGTCCTTCCTCTGCTAGATGCCAAAGCAACAATAATCATTGCACAAGTCGTGTGTTTACATTTATCGTAATTTATATTATTTAGAATAAGGTAACCTTAACAATAAGTGTGATCCTTCTCCTGCTGAGATGACAAATTCATGTTGATACACTGTATAGCGTTGTTCTATCACGTGTTATTAAACATGTTTTAAATAAAATCTAAGAGACGGTCTGTCTGATTATGATAGCTAGTTTGTAATTAGGCTCCAGTTTAAACTAGTCCGTTTCAATATAGAAACCTCACGGAAAATATGCAAACTAAAAATGTAAAGTGTAGAATTTATCAACAATTATCAAATTTATTACACTGTGGCTGGGAAAAGGACTCTGACAAGTTTGAGCCAGCGGCTTTCAATAAACACATTTCAATAAGAACATTTTGTACAAAGACGGAGTCAGTACAATGTAATAAAACAAAAGAACTGTATATTTTAACTACGAACTGTTTTATTATGGACACTGACTTGTTTGTATGAATACTGTTGGTTGCGGGCAAATTGTGTTAGCTTTATATTTTATATACATCTTGCCCACGAGTCGAAAAGACGCTATAGCTCTGGGAGAGAATCGCTCGTCTTAAAAATGCGTAGTAAAATACGAAAAAAGCAGGTTTGATTAATATGGCGTTGATATGTTTTAAATTTTCAGACACATTTACATTGACTTGACGGCTCCGTAGCGCCATGAGTTGCAGCGCTAAGGGCCGCGGGTTCGAATCCCGCACGGAACAAGTGTTTACATGGCCTACAAATAATTGTTCCGGGTCTGGATGTTTGACCTTCTGAAATTTATGTATGTAAACTGCCCCCACGGTACAGGAAGAAAATCCTAATGTGAAGATAACGTTTAATAAAAGAGAAAAAAAAATTGATAGCTAAGTCGCGCAGTGAATAATCGTTTGATTGCGCCCAGC